ACCTCCTCAAAAATATTTCCAACAGTCATATTTCTATTGTAATATGTCATTTATTTTATCAATTAAATTGAGTTAGATTTTCAACCAGAGTTGAGTTAGATTTCAACCCTCCTCAAACATATTTTCTGCTGTAAGGCTTCTTAAAAATCTTTAGTTTCGACACCCACAATGGCAATATTTCATTTATTTTATCAATTTAATTGAGTAAAAATTTTAAAATAGGTGGAAACCCTTCTAAAAAATTTTTCCAACAGTCATCTTTCTAAACTCTATTTAATTTGATACCCACATTGCAATATTTAATTTATTTTATAAATTTAGCCGAGTTAAAACTTGTAAATAGGTGGCAACCCTCCACAAATATATTTCCAAGAGTAACCTTTCTGAAACCTATTTTATTTGATTCCCACATGGCAATACTTCATCTATTTTATCACTTTAATCGATTTAAAATTTTCAAATAGGTGGCAGCCCTTCTCAAAAATATTTCCAACAGTTATCTTTCTGAAACCTATTTAATTTTATATCCATATTGCAATATTGCATGTATTTATCAATTTGACTGAGTTAAAATTTCTAAATAGGTGGAAACCCTCTTCAAAAATGTCTCCAACACTCATATTTCTTAAACCTCTTTAATTGGACACCTATATGATAAGTAATTTATTTTATCAATTAAATTGAGGTAAATTTTAAAACAGATAACAACCCTCCTCAAACATATTTTCGGCTGTAAGCCTTCTCAAAAATCTAAAGTTTGATATCCATATTGAAATACTTCATTTATTTTATCAATTTAATTGAACTAAAATTTTCAAATAGGTGGCAACCCTCCTTAAAAATATTTCCAACAGTTCCTAGACGTCTTTAATTTTATACCTATATTATAATGGGTCATTCATTTTACCTTCAAATTGAGTTGAATTTTCAAACATGTGGCAGCCCTCCTCAAAAGTATTCCAGCAGATATCTTTCTGACCCCTATTTAATTTTATACCCACATTGCAATATTTCATTCACTTTATCAATATAAATGAGTTAAAATTTTTAAAAAGTATTCCAACAGATATCTTATTTAACCCTATTTAATTTTATACCCACTTTGCAATATTTTTTTTTTATCAATTTAACTGACTTAGTATTTTCAAATAGGTGGTAGCCGCCTTAAAAAAATATTTCCATCAGTTGTCTTTCTTAAACCTCTTTAATCTGATACCCGTATTGTAATATTTCATTTGTTTTATCAATATAACTGGATTTAAAAATTTTCAAACAGGTGGCAAAGCTCCAATTGAGTTAAATTGTCAAACCGGTGACGACACTCCACAAACATATTTTCGGCTGTAAGCCTTCTTAAAAATCTAAAGTTTGATACCCAAATGACCGTATTTCATTTATTTTATCATAATAACTGAGTTTGATATTTCAAAGATGTGGCAATTTGACTCAAAAATATTTCCGGCAGTTATCTTTCTTAAACCTCTTAAATTTAATATCTATATTGTAATAAATCATTTAGTTTATCAACTAAATTGCGCTAATTTTTTAACAGGTGGCGACCCTCCTTTAAAATATTTTTGACTGTAAGCCTTCTTAAAACGCTTTAGTTTGTTACGCACATATCAATATTTCATTTACTTTATCAATTTAACTGAGTTAAAATTTTAAAATTGGTGGCAACCCTTCTCAAATATATTTCCAACCGTTATCTTTCTTAAACCTCTTTAATTTGATACTCATATTGTAATATTTAATTTATTTTATCCATGTACTTTAGTTAAATTTTCAAACAGGTGGCAACCCTCTTCAAACATATTTTCGGCTGTTAGCCTTCGTAAAACTCTTTACTTTGACACCCACATGGCAATATTTCATTTATTTTATCAATTTGACTGAGCAAAAATTTTCAAATAGCTGGCAACCCTCGTCAAAGATATTTCCAGCAGTTTTCTTTCTTAATCTCTCTTTTATTTAATTTGATACCCATATTGTAATAATTTGTTTATTTGATCAATATAATTGGGTTTAAAAATTTTCAAATAGGTGGCAACCCTCCAATTTTTTGCGATATCATTGGTTCTGGTATTATACCTAGCCGTTCTCGAGTTTTGACGACCGTGACATACGAACACAACATGTTTATATATATAGATATAATCTCAATCAAAGCTCGTTAGCTGTCAAATTGGTTGTGCTGGTTATTCACACAACTCGAGGAAAAGTTAAACTTCTTCTCTGTGCCACCGTGGTCACTTGTTTCTGCTACACATATTATACTATTTAAATATATTTTAACGGAATATTATATTAAAAATACCTTTACAAACCTCTTTTCCTTACTAGCGTCAAATTTTGTTTAGTTTTACATTTGACATTCCTCCTCTTCTTTGCAAGTATAATCGTTAAAACTAGGTTGGACACCAAAAAGTTATCGGTTGAATATGGGATAATTTTATTCTAATTTTTGTTGTTGGTGTTTCCGACATGGTGGCAGTGTGATTTAATGTGGAACGATTTTCCGTCGTCCTTTGTAAAATTTAATTTTATAATTATAATTTTGTATGGCTAATCTCTTTTTCTAACTACAGATTAGGGAGTTAAGCTCGAAAATGTGGATAATCTTTTTATATGTAAAGCTATTATTATGCGATTCAGTAACATACATACACATGTAGGTTAGGTTAGAAATTAAATATTAACTTCACTTTATTTTATTCAATTTGCTGATTTATTTTATTTGTATTCATTTTCATTGTAAATTCTTTTAATACATGAAATCATCGGTATGATTGATAAAATATGACACTTGTATATACTTGTGACTCAAGGGCGTTAAAATATCTTGAAAACGCCGCATCAATTACTGTTTTTGAGCTTGTAGTTTGAGCATTCTATTTGTATATGTTCCTAAATTTAGTTTTTATTTGAGGAATTTAATCTGTGGTTCTGCTTCATCTGTCGCTAGGTTTACGCTAAAGTTACGAATACATATAACATACCATCTTTTGTTTGCAAAACGGGTAGCTAAATTAATTTGTTCGGCATTTCCTCATACTCTCGTCTTCTCTTTGTGCAATCTTGTATTAGCTCTGATCCGGTACTCAATGAATTTACAGGTTTTTATTCGAACTTGCAGGAAGTTACAAAAATCAACAATAGCAGCATCAACATATACAGCATCATAATGAGCAGCGCCACTGAAAGCTTGGATGTTGGTAGTGGCAAAGTGTCCGAGACAGAGCCGTCCATGAGAAGACCGATTGCGGAAATGGACCCTTTCAAGCACGCATCACGACTGGTTCGGTCGCTTACAAATGTGCTCAACGTAGAGAAGGCAGTACGAGCGAGGTCGTCACCACCAGCGGTGCAGGATAGCACGCCACAGGCGAAAGCAGTGCGATCGCGCGGAGAATATATGTCGGAGCTAGGCGATGCAATCAAGAAGCTGATGGATGTAATGCGCCCACCTCAGCGCTCAATCAACAACAACATGAGGGACATTGTCAGCCAAATAGCAAAGTTGCATGCAAATGCACATGAGGAGTACATCAGAATAAAAGAAGACAGACGGAACGTCCTCATCACGACTGCGGAAACCCCCCCAAAGAGGCCCCGCGACGAAAACCAGCCGAAGCGAAGAACGCCACCTAAGAAGAACAAAACCACACATGAAGAGGTGCCAAGGAAGTCTGAAACCATCTTGAGTAAGGAGGCGAAAGATAGTCGCCCTACCAAGAACAAAGAAAAGGAGGAGCAAAAAGGAAAAGGCTGGATAGCGGTGAAATGTAAACCACGAAGCAGCAAGAAGACAACGTACAAGCCGCCCCCACGTCTCGATGCTATAGTTATAGCGCGAAATGGAGATATGTCCTACAGCGACATATTAAGGGCGATGAAAAAATATGATGCTTTGCAAAAACTCGGCGAGAATGTATCGCGAATTAGGAAGACGGCCAAAGGCGAAGTCCTGCTGGAGCTGAAGGAAACGCAAATGAAAAGCATGGGAGAGTTTAAGAGCGGAATATGTAAAGTGCTAGGCGATCAGGTACAAAGCGCTTACCCACGAAGTAATGTCGAAATTCGGGACCTTTACGAGATCACCACGAAATAAGACATTACCGAGGCCATCCGCACCTAAATAAGGGATTTAAACCATTTCGGCGAACCGTCGATCAGAAGCATCAGGGCGGCGTACGCGGGTACGCAAACGGCGCTGGTAAGCCTTCCCACGCTGGAGGCTAGGCTACTGCTAGACGCACGGAAAGTAAAGATAGGCTGGGTAGTGTGCAGGATAAGAGAGAAGCCGAATCCATAAAAGTGCTTTAGGTGTTTTGAATACGGACATCTGGCGAGAGCGTGCAGCAACCCAGAAGATAGAAGTCAGTGCTGTCTCAAATGTGGAGAAAAGGGCACTTCGCGAAAGCGTGCAAGAAAAAACCGACCTGTAGCGCGTGCAAGAACAAGGGAAGGGAAAACTCGGATCATCAAATAGGTAGCCGGAAATGTCCCCTTTACCAAGAAGCTTGCAAAATCTTCAAAAAATGAGAGTCATTCAGCTAAATCTAAACCATTCCGAGGCAGCGCAGGAACTGCTCATGCAGACTGTGTACGAATAGAAAGTGGATTTAGCAATAATAAGTGAGCAGTACAAAAACATGGACGCCGCAACATGGACATCTGATTGCACAAACAAAGCCGCCATATGGGCCTGTGGAGGCCAAGCTCTCCAAGAAAAGCCGCTATTAGGAAAAGCCTACTACACGCGGGCGAAGATCTGTGGAATCAACTTCTATAGCTGTTACTTACCACCGAGCCTGCCACAAAGTGATTTTGAAAAAACCCTGGACGAATTGGTACGAGAAGCCCTGACTACTACGATGAACGTGGTGGCAGGCGATTTCAATGCGTGGGCAATGGAATGGGGCAGAATCTGTACGAACAGACGGGGAGATGCTCTGCTCAAGGCGTTTTCGTTGCTGGACGTAGTGCTGTTAAATACGGGAAACAGGAAAACCCTTTCGAAAAAAAAACGGTCGTGGCTCGGTGATTGACATCACGTTCGCTAGCAGTTCCTTAGTGCGGTCAACAAGCAAATCATCGGGTACGCTGACGATATCGTAGTAACAGCAGTGGCTAAGGAACTCAACGAAATAGAGATTCTATGCAATAATACCGCGCAAAAATCAAAAACTAGCTCACGGCAACAAAGCTTCAACTAGCGGGACAAAAAACGGAAGCGGTGTTGATTACAAGCAGGAACAAGTAAGAAAGTCTAAGTTCGGGCGGAGCCGAACATTAAATACCCGGCGCAAGTATTAAATATATGTTTTCCACCTTTCCGAAAGCTACCACTACATGATAAGCCGGGGTGTATACATTTTAAGTAAATTAGCGTCCTTAAATTTCGAAATATTGAAATTTCAACCATATCTGAAATTTACCGTTATATGAAAAGCGGCCTCAATTTTAGTCCGATTTCAACAATTTTCGCCGGTTTGCTTTTATGTGGCAAGCACAATAACCAGACCGAGCTTGGTACAAATTGCTAGAACGGTTAGCGAGATACATATATGTGATCATAAGTGGGCGGGGCCACGCCCATTTTCCAAAATTTTATCATAAACGTATTTCTTGGTAAAGAATTGTTGCAATCATCAATTTTGAATAAATTAGCTTCAATATTTACTGATTTATCGAAGATTTTGTATTTCTCGAAATTACCGTTATATGGGATGTGGGCGTGGTTATTGTCCGATTTTAGAAATTTTCGGCCAGTTGGTATGCTGTACCAGGACCAACAACTGTGCCAAGTTTGGAAGAAATTGGTGTAGCGGTTACCAAGATATACACATGTAACCATAAGTGGGCGTGGTTACGCCCATTTTCCAAAAATTTATAATATTCATGTTTTCCGTCTGAAACTCATTGTAAGTATCAATTTTGAGTGAATTATCTTCAGTAGTTACTAAAATATCGCAGTTTTCGTATTTCTTAAAATTACCGTTATATGGGAGGTAGGCGTGGTTATTATCCGATTTCGCCCATTTTCAATACCATCCGTCCCACGCCCAAAAGAAGTTCACGTACCAAGTTTCGTTAAGATATCTCAATTTTTACTCGAGTTATCGTGTGCACAGACGGACGGACGGACGGACGGACGGACGGACGGACGGACGGACGGACGGACGGACGGACGGACGGACAGACAGTCACCGCTTAATCGATTTCTCTTTTCATTCTGATCATTTATGTATACATTTGTCTATATCTATCTCGATTCGTTTTGCCTGTTACAAACAACCGTTATGTGAACAAAGTTATAATACCCTTGTGCACAAGTGCGCTCGGGTATAAAAAGGTAGAAAATGCTACGTTTAACATTGACGGGTATAGCATCACGACACAGCAGTCGTTGAAGTACTTGGGCGTGACGATAGACGCGAGACTCAACTACAAGGCGCACATCGACAAAGCTTGTGAGAAAGCGGCAAGGGTTACGGCCGCGCTAACGAGGATAATGGCCAACATTGGCGGACCAAGTCAGAGCAGGCGAGCACTCCTAGGTAAAGTGAGTCAGTCTATACTAATGTATGCTGCGCCCATCTGGGGGCCAGCGCTCCAGCAGAAAACATATGCTAAGACAGCGAAGTCAGTGACTCAGCTAAACGCTATCAGGGTTGTCTGTGCATTCCGCACTGTTTCACACGAGGCCGTTGGAGTCATAGCGGGCATCTTGCCACCAGATATAATGGCCATGGAACTTAAGAGAATTTTCGACAAAGTCAAGAAACATCGGCAGGCGACTAACAGGCGAAGAACGGAAAGAAGAAAGACAGACTAGCTTAAACGAGTGGCAGAGACGCTGGGATGCGACCACGAAAGGAAGGTGGACGCACATGCTAATCGGTAACGTTCAAGCGTGGGTTGAGAGGAAACACGGCGAGACTGATTACTATCTAATACAGTTTCGGACGGGGCACGGCTATATTGGAAAATATTTAAATAAGTACGGACACGATGACGATTTTCTTTTCCTGCCCGAAGTATGACGCCGACAAAGCAGACCTAGAAAAGCTGATAAACGATCGAGTGGCGGCAGAAAATATTGTGCACCACATGATGCAATCTAGAATGGTGTGGAGTAGAGTCAAAGCGTGGTCCGCTATAGCCCTTCAGGAAATTAGAAGGAAAGAGTGGCAGCGCAGTAGCGATAATAGAAGACTGAACGAGAGGTAGGCCAGAAAGGCGTGTGTGAAGAGCCAATTGGCAAAGCTACGCCTTGCGACGTAATAACGGCGACCCCACAAGGCGAAACACAAGCTTCAGACGTCGGAGTTAAGGGTTTAGTACGTAGGCGCGCTGTCTCGCAAATCCTGAAATATGTGATAACATAGTCTGGGTGTGGTCCCGAATGAGGTGTACCCTTATCGGACAGGATGGCGAATCGTGCATAACATTTTTGGAAGATTCCCCCTCCGTTGGAAAAAAAAAATGTACGTATGAATCCGTTTTGCATTTCAGCGCTGCTGGTAGCGGCAAAGTTAATAACAACGAAGCAAGCGTGCTTGGTGTACATTCGTACATAGATATGTATGTATGTTTGTATGGATATATGTATGATGAAGCAAACGTGGTTCGTCGATATAATGATGAACATATGTATGTACGTACTTATGGACAGCAATAGATATGTTTGTATGTATGTACATATCTATGTTTGTATGCATGGATTTATGTATGTAGTACAAACGAGGACAAATCTAATCACCACCAGCCAAGGCGAATTATACAAGGCGGTGTTGGCAGAACATAAACAAAAATTACAATAAAGCTCACACAATACAGTTCAATGCGAGCGTGGACATGCATTTTTTATTTTGACCAATATTTTCGTTATTAACTACTTCACTTTTTGCAGTAGTTAATACATATATCAAACGATAGAGAATTAAAATATTAAAAAAAGACGCGTATAGCACCATACACGTGATAGAAGTGAAGCTTCTTAGAAAAGGTGTGAGTACCAGGTACTCACGAAATTTGATGTGTAAAGATATGTATGTGTACGGCACGGCAAAGCATTTGGCGATTGAGTTACTTACATATGTAGGTTAGGCTAGAAATTAAACATTAATTTCATTTAATTTCACTGATTTATTATTTTTTGATTCATTTTTAATTTCAATTGAAAATCCGGTATCAACACCTTGTATGAGTTCACCCTTCTAGCATCGTTAGGACCGGGTTATAATGGAAGTAACTGAGTGGAGTGAACTCTCAAATAATTATCTTTTGTATGTTTAATAAAGGCAAATGTTTATAAAGCAATCAATAGATCCCTACGAAGTCGCCGCGATTAGTTACCATTTGCCCCGTACTTTATAAATAAGGCGTTAAGTAACGGACGAAGCTTTGTTTGCAAAATGCATTTATTTAAGTTGAAAGAAGAGAAATTTCTTTGTTAGGCATCTCCTCTTACTCGCCTTCTCTTTGCGCAACGTTGTATTCTATCCAAGGCAAATTCATATGTTCTTACCACGAGCTGATATATTCATGTGGTAGCAAGAGTATAAAAAAATAAAAATTACCTAACCTCGTAGGCCTATTCACGAAATCATTTCATGAATTTGAATAGAAACTCAGTGCATAAACAAGATTTACAAAATCTATTTCGGAGGATTTATAACAAAAAGGAGAAAAATTTGGCATTAAATCGATGGATATAACATATAATGTTTTTTGCTATGTTTTTACCACTAAAATAGAATGCCGTTATACAACATGCCCATTAACGTTGCGACGAGTTGTACAACTTGCCAGAAAATCAAAATAGATTTATCTTTCATAGAACTTCATTTAACAGGCCCATAAACGTTGCAATCTAGAGCACAAAATCACCAAGTTGAATCAACGGTCGCAACGTTTATGTCTTTCTTTAAGAAACACCGAGGCGAAAATTTCAACTGCTCCTGTAACACTACCTTATATGAATTCGCCTTGCTATCATCCTCAGTAGCGGAAGCACAAAAACTACTCTAACAAATTATACGCAAAATGCCAAACATAAACAAATGTACAACAAGCACATCATTTTGACAATCGGTACAATTC